CTCGTCACTTTCTGTCTATTCTCCTTCCAGAACATTCCCCAACTGTCCACTCCTTTCTGCAGACTCCCCCTGGTTGGCGTCACCATAGCCTCTTTTCCACACCCACTCTCCACTCCCCCCGTGGGGCCTCCCCTCCTTCAGTGGGGCCTCCCCTCCTCCAAAGTGGCTTTTTATTAATCTTTGGAACTCACACAGAGTATGATAAAGACCACCCAGTGGCATTTAGGGAAACTGAGATAAAAGGTGGAAGCAGATAGCCAGGGGCCCGAGCCGGGGCTTGGCCTTCACTGGAGCCAGTGGACCTAAAAGGTAAATTAAGCTTCTGCAAGAGTAGAAGCAAAAGCAATGGTGCTCCATGCACAGAGGGGCAAAGTCTCGGCTTCCCGTGGATGGCAGGAGTGTGGGATGAGGCCCTTATAACAACAGGAACCTTAGGGACCAGCATGGCCATTCCCCCCTCCTCCAGGGAGGGAGACGCTGGGCCAGCATCAAGCCATGCAGGTAAGACCCCACCCATGTAGGAGCCTGCAGGGTAGAGTTAAGGGAGAGTCCGGTGAAATAACGGATAACACCAGAGCCCCAGGAATTTGTTGGCGCAAACCCAACCCCAGCCATGACTTGAGCTCTGATCTCTCACACCGACTGCACCTGCCTTTGATTACAATTTGCAGATGAGGAAGCAGAGAGAAGAGAAGCAGACAGTTGTTGGAAGCAAAGCTGAGTTGCAAAGCCTAGCCCCATCTCACCACTGAGTTTTCATGCTCCGAGCGAAGCTGTCAAATCAGGGTCTTCCCAGAGATGGAAGCCCGGGTTTGATAAGCTTAAAAGGCATCTCTGCTACCGTTCAGAGTGAATGTCGGTGAGAAGTGCCCCTAACGTGGGGTCTGGAATTCGTCCAGACTGAATGAAAGCCAACGCCAATGTTCCCCTGGCCCAGGGACACCCCACCAGCAAGGCTGCAGGCCACAGTCTTCCCGAAACTGCCTTCTCCTGCCAGGAGGCATGAGGCCTGCACCCGACCACACATGGCTGGGGCGACGCGTGCAGTGTGAGCCACCACCGGCACTTTAACTTCGGAGCCTGCAAAGCGGGGAGCCTGGCAGCAGCCGCTGCGTCCATCAAAGCATTTTTTTCTTTTAGATTTATTTTTACTTATTTTTGCATAGAAGAACTGGGGTGTAGGCCAGAGGTGCAGGGGGTGAGAGGATTCCCCAGAGACAGAGTGGGGAGCAGAACAGGTGCATCCACTGAATCCACTGCTGAGGGGAGCAGCCGATGAGATGGGAGAGGTCTGCTGTGCCCTGTGGGTAGCTCCCTGGCAGGGGATGGAACTCAGGCTGCAGTGTCTACCAACAGCTTGATAGTGCTAAGACTTAACCCCTTGTGCCACCCGGGAGGCCCCCAATAATTCTTTATGAGTCATGTGATATTCACTTCAGAGATGGGACCAAAAAAATAGAGAATCAAAAATTTTCATTTAAAACTTAGGGGAACTACTTATTCCTTTGGAGGAAAACCACCTTATTTACCGGGGCCCTAGAAACCATATAAAAAATAGAATACTTTGACATGCCCAGAGAGAAAAGAGATTCCAGACAGTCCCGAAGTCCTCTGGCGCCACCAGGGAGGCCCCAACAAAGCATTTTGCTCAAAGCTGCAGCTGCACAGAACACCTGGTTTCGAGACCTGGCCCCAGCGTCCAGGGGCTGCTGTGCTGTGGGAGCGAGAGTCCCGCCCAGAGTCCCGCCCAGAGAGTCCCGCCCAGGGTGCCCACACAGGCACCCCCATGAGACGCTCCTGGGGAACTCTACATTTCTCTAAACACTCAGTGACAGCCCTGCAAACAGATGTTAAATGAATACTAAAAACCTCAACATTCCTCTTAACCACTTTCAAGTCTTGACAGTAGAATTTTCCTTCAAAGTGAAACCCTTTCCTAGTTTGAATAGTGATATTTTCTTGTGCAACATTAGAAAAGCTTCAATGATCTTACTGCTCAGAGATGCATGGGCACGTGTGCAAGTTCAAGGTGAAAAGGGAGCAACGTGGCCCAGCCTCCGTCACGTCGCCCAGCTTCCAGCAGGCCGCGACCTTGGTTGGCATCAGGAATTTTTATTAGGAAGAGAAGGCACCCCACCACCGTCTTTAATTGTTGCAGGGGCTTCCTCTTCACAGCTGTCAGAGTTAATTTCATCCACCCCTCCCAGATGTTTGAGGTCAGCGTGCAGCACAGAACGTCTGTGAACACGCCAGTTCCCGTGTGCAGGCACCGAAGCAGGTACCAGCCCTCAGCTGCAGAACGGCCAGCTCGCCCCTGCCTGCAATTTGCCTTTGGGTTCTCACAGCTTCATTTGAGTAAGTTCTCTAGCTGGATCTGCTGGGCCAAAGGCCACGCAAATGTCAGCTTCTATTCTGCACCGGATGCCAGATTGCCTCTTGTGTCTAACAGCGCTGAGCTCTCCACACACACACACCTCTCACTCCACCTATCAAATGTTTGGTATTCATCGTCTCAAAAATGAAGTCCATTTGGAACAGACCCATGACTTTTTTCTCAAACAAATTGTTAAACCAAAGTATTTTGGGGGGATTCACTATTAACATAGTCACATTGGCAAAGTCTGATTATGCAAATGTTATTTGAAACAGAATGGAGGCTGGCAATGGCCCGAGCCGGGTCGTTCAAATTAAGCTCCAGAATGTGGCGGGAAGGCATTAAGCACTAGATACTTTCTGAAATGTATATTGACTGTGAGGTTGATGAGAGAAATAAATCCAGGACGGTTTTATGTTGTCAACTTTTCTAATTTTGAAATTATTTGGGGAAAGGCCCAGAAGTGTACGTGAGCTAATGAACGCTCCTTTTAAAATGATCTCTGATACAACTCAGCCCCGTCTGACAGTCAGTGTGTTACACCATCCGCGGGAACCGCTTTGGGAGGGAGTCGTGAACGGAGCTAGTGACCACTTTATGCACGCGGAGAGCCACACTCAGAAGTGCAAGTCTGTCTGGGAGTGTGTCCAGGACCCAGCTCAGCGAGCACCGTGCGCTGCCCACAGCCTGAGACCAGCCAGGACGACAAAAGACGCAGCGCCTTATTTATAAGGAGAAAACCTACGCGAACCAGCCCATCTCCCGCATATCAGCCAGACTGCTTGGTAATGGGGGGGAATTTTTTCTTGGCTCTTTGTTCTTCTTTATTCCCCACAGTTTCAGATTTCCCTCACTGGCTTTATATTCCTTTTACAGGAAAAACAAGCCACTGTGCGTTGGACTGAGTCTGTTCCCATCCCTCCGCTGCAGCTTCTCCCGCTTCAAACCAGCCTCGCTCCTGCCGTTCCCACATTCCCCCCACAGGCTACCGGGGAGCCCTCATCGTGAAGAAACCTCCTAAATCTAGCTGCCAATGTGAAAATCCTGTCAAGGACACGCATCGCACCAGAAGCCTTCTTTTGTTTTGCTCTTTTAGAGGACACCGAGTTTCATCCACCAAGACATTTTCAAAACCAAACACCAACGGCAAAGTACAAAGGTGAAGAGGAAAAAGCATGAGAATATTTGCTGAGTCACATCAAAAACAATATCCGGACATATCAAAGCATATCAAAAATTTCCGTTCAGCATCCTGATTATCCAAGATGAGTGCCTGCACCTCTGGTTTAAGATCAAGTCGCAAAAAAACTAAAATTATTTACTGCTCACTGAAGTTTTAAATAATTTGAGCTAAACATGTAAATAACAAGAGCTAAACATGTAACAAATATGACAGGGCAGGTCAGCATCCCAAGGAACAGGTCACGCTATTTTACATACATTCATTTTAGATAGTTTTAATTTTAAATGTATATACCTTGCTCCCTCCCTCGCTCCATCCAGCCACCTGTCCACCCACCCACCTACCCATTGCTCTGTCCACCTATCATCCATCTATCCATCTATCTGTCTATCAATCAGTCTATCAATCAATCTATCTTATTATCATGCTGCTGGCCATGGCATTAGCTGCCAAAGGTGAGACCTGACTGTTGACTTTCTTGCCATCTGATTGCTCAGAACCTCAAAGGAAAGCAACGGACACAGGTCAGTGACCAGGCTTGCCTACCTGAGACTCAGAATCAGATTTTTATGACTTAATGTCCCTGGCAGAACTCATTCCCGCGAGACTGGCCTATCTTTACTGTCATTCTAACAACAACAAATCAGACTTTCCCTGATGGATAGAGAACAGGCCCTGTGGTCCTAGGAGGGAGCCGCTCCTGCTCTACATCAAACAAGACTCAGGAAATGGGTTTCTACCTTTAAACACACATCGCTTATTAGCAGATTCTTTTCTGGTCTCTCAGATCTGAAGAGCCCGTGGGGATGGCCACAGCGTGTGAGGGATGACAAGGGTACGCCTGGAAGTAGATAGTTTTCTACTGGAAGGCTTCGAAAATATGTGATGATATCCATGTGTTCCAGGGAAAAAATATAAGACCATTTTCTGGAAATTTACATGATTTTGCAAAAAAGGGCCAAAATTTAAAATAAAAAGATAAAATAAATACTTTTTACCACTGGAGACAAGCTCTGAAAGATAAAATAAACTCTTGGTATTTCTTAGAGAAAAAAAGAGTTTCTGTCCACTTGAAACTCTTTCTCCTTATGTAACCCAGGGATTGCCAAAGGTCGCCTCATTACGGAACACTGTTATTTGACCAGGAGAGGGGATGCTTAAATTCGACCCACGAAAAATTAGGCTCTGAAAACAGAAATAGCAGAAGTACGAGAAAAAGCTGCTGAATCACAAAGTTCCCTTTTAGAGGGATAAAATTCTTTGTTTTTCCATCAGATCCTTTTTTTTTTTTAAGTTAATTCCAGTCCCAGACCCAAATTTGGGTCATGAAGCCACGCATTCAGCTCTGCTTCTCTAAAGCCAACAGAAACCGCTCAGCGCTTCTCAGCACACATTGCCTTCACTTTCTCAATCGTGCAAGAAACAAGAATTCACTTGACTTACTCATTTCTTTCCAGGTTTATGATCAGTTCTTTGCTTTCCAGTTGTATTCGAAAATTCAACACTTCTGGGTGATTCTGAAAGATAAACAGCAGCAGTCAGTCAAAAAACATGGTGCTTTGACTTGCCAGTATCCTCTGGAGGTGTATTCACGGGGAGAGAGAAAAACCCCTTTTCTTCTTGGGATCGTTCTGCGATCCCTGGTGGAGGAAACCGGGACAAGATTCTAGAAAATCCTCCTCGCTCCCCGCGGGCACTGATGTGCACACACTTCTGGTGCTGGTGCTCCTGTCCTTTGCCCACATTCTCCTGGCACCCCTTCTTGACTCCACCTGCCCCAGAGTCATCTCTTGGGGTGCTTGCCTCCCTGCTGTCACACCCAGTAACCAACTTAACCCCAACACTTCCAAGAAGACTTACCTCCCCGATCTGAGTCCAACCTCCCGCCCCAGCCCCCTCCACCACCCTAGGAATTCTTTCTTGCAGTCCCTAGTCCTTTCCTGATGAGGCAGGATTTCCTTCCTACTACAATGACTCAGTAGGTTGATGTGTGGGTCCCCCGGGCATTGTGTCCACGAAGGCACCAGACAAAAACGGCAGCTCTCTTAACACTGAGAAGGAAGGAACCGATGAGCAGGACAAACATCCTATGGAGCTGGGGCCCTAGTGCTGGGCAGACACGCTCCTTTTTCTTCTGGACCCCAAGAAACCCACTTGTGCCTGTATCGGTTATCAGGGAGCAAGCCCCTATATTCTCCATTCTGCCCCAGAAATCCCAACTACTTTCTGGTCCTGCCCTGAAACATACCCCAAGGCAGCGCCCCCTAACCCTCAGCCGTCCTGGCTCTCCCCCACAAGCTGGTGAGTACACCACAGCCCCGCCCGTGAACCCCAGCCTCGATTCGGAGTCCTTGCCCAGCCCAAGACCTGTCTGCGCCCCAACATCATCCGACAAAGCCTCCGCTGTTTCCCAAGCCCCCTGCACCCCCCCTGGTTCCGGGACTGACGGGCAAGTCCCTCCCCCGCCCCCCCTCCAGCGAGTCTCACTGGGCCTCCCGGGGGCGCGGGCCACTCCCCACGACAAGGGTTTATTTTTGACTTGAAAAATGTCCGACTCAATTTTTTTTGTGCTTTCTAAATGTCTTACATAGAAAATACATTATTTTGATGTTAGAAAATAGTCACCTGCATAGAGCCCATCACAGGACACTGCACTCTGTGTGCAAAAATAATTAAAGAAAACTACACTCGCATATGCAAATGAATATGTTGGTTCTTAGGCTGAAATGGAGGGACTACAGGATTTTAATCCTGTTAATCGAGGTAACATTGGTTACAAGGCTGCATATGATTCAGGGGTTCACACCTCTACAAATGTATTTGATCATACCCCACCAGCCCCCCCAGGAGGGTGGGCGCACAGGGGGTCAGAGCCCAGTGGGCCTTCCTGGAGGACAATAAAAGTTCCTAGTGTTTGTTTCTGAAAGTGAGCGCTGTGTTCATCCCGATGGCGTGTTGAGACAGGCGACCCAGCAGCACTGGGCCCTACGGGGTCCCCTGCTGCTCCTGGGTCCCAGCTGGCGTGATGCAGCCTGATGGTCCAGCCATGCGAGAGGGCAGGGGAGGGCCCCCAGCAAGTGATGGGGTCACCCAGGCAGGACCAAAGGCCCTCCCAGCCCAGGGTGGAGAGGAAGGTGTCTCAGCAGCTTCAGAGCCAGGAGAAGGAGAGTCTTCTCGGGTCTGCCTTGACACCACGTCCCTGCAGGTGAGCATGCCTGACACCCAGCACTGCCCTCGCCACGCCCGCGCGCCAGCGTCATCGTGCTGCCGTGTCTGCTGCATGAGAGACATGCAAATATAAATTTATGCCTGGTCTCCCAATCTTCCCCACCGAAAGGCACCATGGCAGTGCCAGCCTTCAACGAACGTGTTAACCACGCAGCATTTCAGCTTAACCCAACCACAACCTACCCCTCACCTAGCCCTAACCACAGCCACTGGGACCGCACGGAGACGAAATGGGTCCAACACGCCGATGCCTGACACTAAAATAATCAGCGAAAGTGAAACAAAACCTGAGCAAAACCCACCGCCCCGCAAGGGCACACGCGCCCTGAAACTCGTGCTGCTGCTGGCCCGGCCCGTTGGCGCTGGTGCCCTGGAGGGTGAACCCTGGCCACCTTCCGTGAGGGCGGATTTCGCTCACCTCTGTCCCCTGTGTCTAATATCGGAGGTGTGTGGCTATTAGCTTTGAAATCAAAATGAAATGAAATTTAAAAAGCAATTCATTGCCACATTAGACACATTTCAAGCCTTAATAATTAAGCAAGATGTGGCCTCACCCGGCGACAGGGGGAATGGAGAACATGCCCCTCTCCAAGGAAAGTTCACGGAAACTTCCATTTGCACTGGAAGTCACTGAGTCCATAGTGTCGAGTTAAAACTGGCATCCTCCACTGGCAGTAGAGTAATGGATTATTTAAATTATTAATGTCCTCAGGGGATCCAATTAGGTACAAGCCAAAGGTTGTTGCTTTTTAAAAAAAAAAATGCGCTTTAAGAAGGGTCTTCTCAACTTTACTTGCTGGGTGGTATTATTTATTTTTTTTAAAGATTTATTTATTTTTACAAGAACCGGGGTACAGGCCAGTTGTGGGGGTGAGAGGATTCACCAGAGACAGAGTGGGGAACAGAACAGGCAGACTGACGAAATACACTGCTGAGGGGAGCAGCGGGCGAGACAGGAGAGGTCTGCCGCACCATGTGGATTGCTCTGCGGCCGGTGGGGATCGAACCGGCACTGCAGAGGCTGCGGACAGCTTCACAGCACTGCGTTCAACTGCCTGTGCCACCAGGGAGGCCCCAAGGTGGTATTAGTTTTTAAGTAGCTACTCATGCTTAAGAGTTAAACTGGTGAATTTCCATTTACGTGAAATGCTCTGCATATATGCGAACATCTTATTTTTCATGGACGCTTTCCAGCAAACCACCTCACAATCTCTATGATTCTTTGAAAACCATACTTCTTAATTGATATATTTTGACACTGTGTGTTGCTGAGCTTTTAAAATTAATATTACTATTTTCTCCTAGGCAACATTAAACACACACCACTTCTGTTGTAATATATTGTGTCAAAGGGTGTCTGAGTTCTATATTTGCTTTCGAGTCTGTTGCAAGGACATTTACCTAAATTTGCCTGTACTTTCTGATGTCTGGATCTAATTACAAATATGTACAGAATGTTCTCTCTCGGGCTTGCAATTTGTACTCATTAATTATATCTCAGAAGAACAAGATTATTAATTATGTTTATGAAAATATATTAGAACAAAATATGCCTTGATATTTTGTCCAGCTGAGCCTGAGGGCATGTCTATGTCCCAATATCTGTACGTCGTGTTGTCACGTGTGTAAAGAGCTTAGTGACTGTGATGATCAATTGCATCTGCCTAAGATATTGACACACCTATCACTATTTTAAAGAGAAGTCCTGACAATTATATTTGTGGATAGAAATAAAATATTTACAGCCCATTTTCCATGCAAGAATTGAGCTAGTGTAAGCATTAAGATTTGTGCTAACTCCATGGAAAGCACCTACAGGAGCTGCTAGAGCATTCCAATGTCAACATCTTTCAAAGGAACACATTTTCCCCCAGGGATGCAAAAAGATCTTCATCTGTATATTTTCCTTGAGATCGGAATGGCCCAGCAGAAATCAATGAGGAAGGCGAGCAGAGAGCTACTTCAGTTCAAAACCACTAATTGCATTAGCTGTCTTAGTTCAAAAGCACGAATTCATTCTGTTTTCATTTGATTGCTATACACTGGAGACAATGAACTAGTACTGGTTAAACACGCATTCTTCTTAAAAATGCTATATTGATTACCCTAATGGAACTGTGTCTGCTTAAAGAACTGCATTGGCTGAATAAATCAGTTCTATGCTAATCAATAGGCCAGACATGTTTTGGCATTTCTTATAATTCTGTGTTTTTAATTGGGGAAAGTATATCCAAAAGACATATAAAATGCAAAAGTACAATTTGGAAAACAGCAATAGAATAAGCATCAGGGTATCTAACACTCCATTGAAAAATCAAAATAGCATCAGAATCTTCGATGTCTCCTGTATTCCTTAGCCAGCGCCAGACTGTGGGGGCCGGGAGGGCTGAACAACAGAAATCTGTTGTTGCACTGTCTGCAGACGGGAAGCCCCAGTTCACCCGTCGTCCCTGGTCGCTTCATTCCCAGGCCTCTCTGCTTGCGACGGCGCCTTCTCTCTGCGTCCCCGCGTTAGTCTCTCTTGTGTGTCCCACCTGCGACCTCATTTTACTTTAAAGGTCCTCTCTCCAAACAGTCACATTCTGAGGTGAGGTCCTTGGTGTTAGGACGTTGACGTATGAATTTTGAGGGGACACAGAGCGCCCATATTACCCCTCCGGCTTAATTTCATTGCTTTAATTCCCTTACTCCCAGCAGAAGTAACCGTTACCCTCGATTTTCTGTTCATCAATATCTTGATTTCCTTTATAGTTTTACCCCCCGTGTATGTGCCCTCTAAACAACATGCCCAGTTTTGGGACCTACAGCAATGCCCTCATCTTCGTATATTCCCGGATGGTCCTGCTTTCTTCTTCATCGTCATATGTTTGCTAGATCCATACACGTGTTTGCATAGAACTTCAGCTCATTTATTTTCCTTGCTCTGTTGTATTCTTATTCCATTGCATAAACCATTTCTATATTCCCTCTTCAGTGTGTGTGTGTTTAATCTCTCATACCCTCCAGCCTGGGTCGGACACTGCTAGAAACGTTCTTACACACATGTCTGGGGTGGCTTCTCGGGGGGGTAGGGTTTGCACATTAGCTTTCACCAGGGATCTTTAAATTGTTTTCCAAAATACAGTTGGGTCACACTCGGTCAGCCAGTGGAGAAAGGTTCCCAGCACTCCATCCCCTCACCACACGCGGCCAGTCGCTCGCTGAGCGTGAAGCTGCCCCGTGCTGAGGTGTGAGCGTGCACCTCCTCCCTGAGCAGTGCCGAAGAGCCTCTGTCCTCACGCCCATGGAC